GTCATAACCTACGAGGACGCACGCCGGCGATAAGTGCGGCGACCAGTGGGTCCAATTCCATAACGATTAAAACTCCCAAGGAGAGCGGAAGGGAGAACAGGAGACGAAGATGGCTTTCTTATTTGTATGGATAAAACAAGGTGTACATTGCACTAGAAGGTATCTGTCACCCGGCATAACCTGAAGACCAGTGAGCATTGATGAGCTAGTACCGCGGGTATTCGAAGGTGCCTGTTGATGTGATTATCTCCGAAGCGAGAATGATGATGATTTATTCTTAGCATAGAGAGATAATTTTACTGTGTAAGTTTCAAGAAGTCAGTACTACTTACTATGCAGATGAAAAGACAGAGCAAGCAACCTAAGCATTAGGTACTGATTCGGTCTACTACATCCAGAGCCCTCAATTCGGACATCAACAACATCCGACCGAAATCATTCCGAACATCTAATTGATCCAAATCGAGCTCACTTCTAATTGTGTTTCTAATGCTGGTGTCAGTTATCAATTAATCACTTCCAAAAATAGCTTGAAGCAGTACTGAGGTGAGAGAAATCAGGATGTCCTGCATAGATTGGTATCACCTCATTAGATGGGGATGCCAATCACGTACGGTACTTAGACCTTAGACTCAAAAATGCGGCTTGTAGTTGGCTCAATTACAGATGGGCTTTGGGAGTCGCACCCCGTCATGGTCACCGTGCAAAGAAGTGAGAATTGATCATTTCAGGGACTGAGTGTCAATATGGATCAAGACTGGAGGACATGAATTCTTGGAGAAAGCAAATAAGTAGCAATATTCTTAATGGTAAGGAGGGGCCCATTGTATATCTACATACCTGACTTCTGTACTCAGTATATAGTGCTGTACTGTTAATTTCTGCAATCTATTGCTGAACCATCCATTCCACATGCAGCAGTAGGTAAGAGGAAATGGAGGATTGCCTGCATCAGTAAAGTTGGCAAATGCTATAGTTGCTATTATAGCGATTATAGCAACTATAGTGCCACTAGCTCCCATACTTTGTTGACAGCTATGGTACCTTCCATAGCACTACTTTCAGACGTCTCGTTCGAGCATTCCTTCCTATTATAAAAATATGTGAGGTGTCAATAAATATATTTTAATCCGATACATTGATATTATAACGTAATATTGACATTATCTCCCTGCTGAAGGTCGGGATCATTGTCTACGATGGACGGCTGCTATGGAAAAATAGGCGCCATGGTCAGGTTTCCTGATGTGACAGTCTGGACAAGTTGTGAGCCTAAACAAGCGCTGATGTTCGCATTCGTCATCCGGCCAATATTGCCGAATAAACTCCCACAATCTTCTTTTGCAACGTTCATCGATTCACCGTTTGAAGTTTCTGCGACATGATCCACCTCAATCTCCTTCAAATTGCCATTTCAATTCGTTCTATTATTTGCAGAAAGTACCTCATCGTGTCCCTATCATCACTGTTATAGAGAATACTGTAGTGCTACGTTTAGAAGTTCAGCCCTCCGACCGCATGAGTTATAGCGTACCGTGGGAAACCCAGACACTATTTCCACAACCTGTTAGTAACATGTCACGCCTGTAGGGCATTTTCCACGTATGTTTTGAACAGTTATAAACGAGGGTCCGGGGGCGGAGCCCCTGGGAGCTCCAGAGGTTTTCAACGGTTTAAAACATCGATTTCTACATGTTTTAAACAGTTATAAACAGCTGTTCCTAAATTACCAATCCCAAAGATCCTTCTGAGATAGCACTTTCGGCTGCACTTGCACTGCAACATTAACGGAAGATGGGGCATCTTTGCTTGATCCATTACTGGCTAAGAACTCCCGCAATAAAGGTGCAGATAAATCAATGTCCTTGTCGAGCATCAGCTCCCTGTCTGCAGGCTCGTTGTCGACATCCTCGTGACTAGATTCAGTGTCAAAGATATTATCAGGATCTCCTTCACCCTGAGATTCTTCCTCAACCTGAGGCTCTTAACGGAGAACCGATCATGCTCCGGAAGGGATTTGGGTAACCGCTTTAGGTAGAATTGCAATTCGTGCAGACGTGCCGCAACTGAAGGATGGAGAGGCATTGGGAAAGCTTAGAAGCTGAAAAATGGGCTAACCTTATCTAGTAAAGTGGGCACGAAACTGTACAGTTAATATTCCTCTTTGGGAAGTTTCCCACACTTTCTAACATGGGTTTGGACCATTGGTTATCAACATTGTTACGAACACAGTTAAAAACATGTTAAAAAGTCGGAGTTTTAAACATCCACCTTTTCCACGGTACGCTAGTGATGACAGGCCTCGACCGCTGGGAGATTGTTCAGTCAAAGTCCGTGCATCAGCAAAGCTTGCAAAATGTATACAGCACTAGATAGCCTACCTAGTTCGCCTAGAGGAGACGCCCGTGGTAGGCGAGGTAGGCTATTGCGGATTCGCTAAATACGATATATAGCACTATCTATGACTAGATAGCTCTGTCTACCGCTCATACCGCCCCCTACCACCGGCGCTAAGATGCGCGCGTGCCAGGTTTCCTGATGTGATGCGTGACTGAATAAAAGAATTGTTCAAAATGGGGCTCAAACTGCGGATTTTTACTTAACTTGGGAAGTATTTCAATCATCACGGACAAATTTTTTGTTCATCGGATCCTTGTGATGTGTGACAAACCGTCGGATTTGTTCAATTCAGACCTGAAGCTAAAGCTTGAGCAAGCAGCTTGGTCAGCAGCGTCCACAACCACCCAGCTGCCACTGCTCCCGCCGCTGCTGCAATGAGGCAACAGCGGCTTCTGCTTCTACAGCTCCAGATGGCCCAATAAATAGAAGAAGCTTTTTTTTTTCTTTCTCAGAGACTTATTTTTTTTTACAGAGTGTATCCCCTTCAGGACACTTAAGTACCTCCTCAACCCCCCTAGAATACTAATGGTGTAGAGGGAGGAGCAGAAGAATCTAAGGAGCCGGGGAAGACAAATTTTAGATATGGTTCCATCAAGAACTTTCATAGATTTGAGACAGCTTCCATGTCAAATAAGGCATCCCATCATTTTTAATTTTGTTGACTTCAACTTTTGATGTTGAAGTCCTTTGAGTAACTTTTCACTAGCTCAGGGGACAGGTCAATGGGATCCACACATTTGCTAGATTGTTGAAGCCAATTTAAACATGGGGCTAGGATACTTTTTCAGCTTCACATTTTTGACTAGGTCACTAAACTCAGTCAATGGGCACATGATGGCACATTCAGGGATGGGGCTTCTGGAAAGGAACCATGTGCAAATATTAATGAACTTCTCTATCAAAAAGTTTCCTGTCATTAAATTGACACAACCTCCTCCTGCCCTATGATTGCAAGGCCGATATTTTCTTACTTATATGCACCTGCTGCTTCAATATATGCTGCTATGTGCTGTGTCGGGGCGGGACGAAGTGTCTGAGGTGGCTGACAAAAATACTTCTTTTTCTATTAAATTTTGAGAATGAAATAAGCGGAATTAATTGGTGCTGCAGAAGCAGAAGCAGCTGCCTCATTGCAGCGGCAGCGGGAGCAGCGGCTACTGTGTGGTTGTAGGCGCTGCTGACCAAGCTGAGTTTTCGGGCTCTGCAGCCGACTTGTAAACGTAGCACTACAGTACTTACTTACCACGTATTTCCGGGCCCCAGAAACAACAAAATAATACATCGTAAGAAGGTATAGCCCAAGAGACTTTTAGATTATTAGCATGCTTTCCGTTGTCAGTTGGTGGTCGTTCGTTAAGTACGCCTCAAGATATTCGAGCTTTCTCTCATTCACACACACACACTCTCTCTCTCTCTCTCACGCTCTCTTTCACCCTCACTCACCCTCACACTCTCTCGTCTCTTATCTTTCTTTATTAAACTGCGGCATCGCAGATCTAAAAAGCTTATTACTAGGCATTCCCTCCGAATTAATTGAAGCTCAGGTCTTGATGGTGTACCACATATTACTAATGAGAACGAGGCTATGATTCGAAAGGACGAATGATAACAATGTTGAGGAAGCTTACGCAGTGACGGCTGGCAGCTCTTCATTTCCTCCCATCCCAGATGGATTTCGTGGAGTATCGGATAAATTCGGATAAATCTATTGAATGTTGAATGCTACTCATGTTGATATTCGATGGTTTAAACCCGTTGCCCTCTTCGTCGATCTCCTCTGGGCTTGGATCGTCATGATTTTATTCATTTCCTAAACGTGTGAAGAGATTACTTACTAGGCTTACGCGGGGACACTCATTTGTAACATCTCATTCCAGATGCCAGATTTCTTGGATGTGCTATGAATAAATTGAATATCAGTATGTTGATATTCGATTTTCGATCGCTGTATCAATTCCAGTTGGGAGCATTCTGAGGGCTTCAAGTTAATTTCCCCGCTACTGACAATTCTTGTACTACAGGGGCTCGTGCCGATATGTCCGTGAACCACTTCCCTTAGGACAAATACCTTAAACAGATATTCACCCTAAGTTGCTCACTTTCCTCACATCTGTATCTGCAAAGTTCTGAATCTTGAGCGCGACTCGATGATGTTTTTCTTAAAATGTCCTACGAGCTTCGCCTTCTTGGACACTTCTTAAGCTCGCTATTTTCGATCACGGAGATCGTTGTGCTCTGAGCACGTCACAGACACAGCTTACACTGAAACGATAAGGTTGGACTGACGTGTCGAGAATGTCTAGTTAAAACCAGGCACATTCAAGGATCGAGTGACCAGCGAAGGTTCTCCTACGCCTTAATGCGACTAGTGGTGGGTTGAACACAAATTGATTACGATTTTCACTGGCATTAGTTGCTGGTTAGCTCGAGCTCATGATCACATTCAAGTAGTTTCCCACTGAATAACCCACCTTGGTTAATTGTTGATATTTTGTTTATAGTCCCGCCTGAAACGGAAAGTCCCAGTAAAACGCCACTTTGTCCCAGTTGCTTACAGTAATGTTTAAAACTTTAATTAAAGGTGCAAAATCAAAAATAATCTCTCAGGCAGGGGATTGAACCCCGGTCTCACGCAATCTAGAGTAGAACCTTGACAGGTACGAAAACTAACCACTATACTACCTAAAACGCATTTATATTTGTCACGACACGTCCTCGACCGAGGGATAGGGGAGAAATAGGAACTAAGGAAAGAAACGAGATATGATAACATAAACGCAACTGAAAGCAAAACCTATATAGGCATCATGACTAGTTTTACATCAGCCAAGTGAGTCAATAATATGAAATAAGTGTACTCGAGGGAATATCATGTAAAAAATTAGATGCCGATCGGCGGTACTACATGGTAGCTCCCATCTAAAGGGAACGGCTGAATAAAACAAACTAAGGATATTTATTCAGTATGTGTGACAAACTAGTTCCCATAAAATGACATCAGAAGCAAGCAAACATGAGAGAAAATTATCGCGGGGGAAAGAGTACAACTTGAAAGGGTTGATTGCGTTAACAGCTCTATCCAAGCAAAGGTTAAGCAAAGACATCGGTCGCCAGTCGGTCTTTCTGGACGGCCTCCCATCGACGAGCGAGATGTTCATCATCCCAATCTGCATGGCGAACCTTGATCATGTTCATCAAGGTCTCCTTGAGGCCATTGGCGACGGGTGGAGCACCACAAGTGTAGAACTATCAATGAAAATATTAATATCGAAACGACAATAATAAAGAAATAGTATTAACCTTTGCTCCGGCCTCAAAAGATTTAATTATCAACTCCTTGTCGTACCAGGCGCGACTATGAAAATAAAATGCTGTCAGCACACAATACTAAAAATAAATGAAAATAAATTGACACTCACTCTTGAACATACTTGCACCCAAATGACGCTTCAGACTTCCTGCTAAAGGCCGGCTTAACCTCCAAGAACTTCAAGTCTTGCCACTCCTTCAAATCGTCCTCTGCATACAGGAAATCCTGGTCCGCTGCGCGACATCCGTAGAACAGCACCATCTTGCCCACATTCCGTCCAGACTTGGCCTGTTCAGCACGTTGTTGGATGAACCCACGCATAGGTGCGATGCCAGATCCAGCAGCAAACATGACGACCGGGATGGAAGGATCCTCGGGAAGATGGAAACTTGCTGCTGAGCTGCGAGTTCCAACTTGCACTTGATCACCCGGACGTACTTTGGCGAGATAGTTGGATGCAACGCCGAGGAATTTGTGGGGAAGACCGGCTTCGTGGGGGAGTTCCACGACGGAGAGGGTGATGCTGACACGGCTTTCGTTCCATAATGGTGAGCTGGAAATAGAGTATTGACGGATACGCATGGCTGGGAGTAAGCTGAGGAAAGAGGCTAGGGGTATATTGATCTGTGGGTAAATCTCGAGGACATCCAATACGCTGACGTGTTTATCGACTATAGCGTCTTTGAAGTTGTCGAGAAGAGCCACGAGCTTTGGCTTGACGTCTTCGGGTGCGAACTTCACGAGCTCTTGGATATTCTTGCGAGTTGCCGTTTGTCCAATTTCGACGTAGCCAGACAGAACCTCCCAGACACTGACGGGTTTGTCAGTGGGAAGTGTGGTCGATGCCTTTGATTTAATCGTGATCTGAAAATTTATATGTGTAAGTAAGGCAACTATGGAGACTTGACTAATACGCACATTTTGATCGGGCAACAAATTAAAACGACTCAAGACTCTTGAAATATTCTCCTCAGGGTTCCTTGGGAGAATCGAAAGATAATCACCCGGTTCATAGTTCATATCCTCCGGTAACTCAATCTCTGCAAACCAGTCGACATTAGATCTAGGGAGAAAAAGCAAGGAAATAAGTACATACCAATATGATGCTTGGCGGGTACCCCAGGTGCTGTAAGAAGTCGATTGTAGATAACTTTGCCAATCGATGTCGCTTCATCCCTCTTCAAAACAGCAGCCCTACTATCATCCATCAGTTCGATGGATAACTTCTCTTCCCCTCCTTCATCCACAGCCACATGAACACGATCTCCATACGCCTATACAACAATCGATCAATCAACGCGCCTACAAATAACAAATATTCAGAAAGCTTACCTTTCCTAGAGCCTTCCAAAGATCTGGCACCCACGCATCAAACAGATCAAAGAACTCATCCGCGCCCGAATCCGCTTCCGTCGCCCCACTTTCCGCAAGGATGCCATCCACCAACTTCGGAATCTTCTGGTACGTCTGCCTCCAATCATGATGTCCACACCCAAACACCGCATATTTGACTCCAGTGTATTGCCCTTCATGTGCGGCTTGGATCGTCTGGACGAAGCGAGATGCGTTATCGGCGGGTTCACCTTCGTAGGATGCTGTGAAGATGATGACGGGGCCGTTGGTGGGCACAGCAGGCTCGATGGAGTCGAGGGTGACGATGTGGGGAATGAAGCCTTGTAGTAATATATGAGTTAACTATGTAATAGAAGAAGTATATGAACACATACCTTTACTAGCAGCCTCACTTCCAACCCTCTGCGCAAAGTCCTTACACGTCCCAGAATTGCTTCCATACGCCAAATACAGATCCACACCATCCGCAGGGTTTGCCACAGTCTCCTTCCTGACCTTATCATTTGAAACCGGTGATTGCACTGCGGGTGCATAGGAGTAAAGGGAAGGTGCGCCTGGGCGGGGTATCGCATGGATTTTGAAGTCCCGTGGTTTGACAGTGAGGGTAGATTTGTAGAGAAGTTTGTAGGATGGGTCGTGGAGTACGAGGTCGAACTTTTGGAAGATGACAGCGAGGGCAATTATTGCTTCTTGCCATGCTAGAGGTCTGTGAACGAAATGATGGTGTTAGTTGATTGAACAGGGATGCGTATGCTTTGACATACCTTCCGATACAAGCACGGACACCGTTACCCCATGGTTTCCATGCATTGACCTAAAGACTCCACTAAGCACCACCATTCCAATTGAATTGGATATAAGATCCTTACCGGCACCTTCTCAAAACCACCATCCAGCATCCTCTCAGGTCTAAATATATCCACCTAGACGAGTAAGACGAATCAGCATCCAATCCTTAAACTGAAAGAGGAGAAATATACTCACATCTTCCCCCCAAACCTTCGTATCTTTATGCAGCTGCGTTGTAAAGATCCGTACCTCTGTATCCTTCGGGATTAAGTATTGCTTCTCCTCACAAGTCACGATCTGGTCTTCCATTGCTTCGACAGCGGGGGACGTAAGGGGGGGCGTAAGGCGGAGAGTTTCGCGGAGGACGGCTGTCAATTCATGTTCGGAATGAGTATAACGTGGAAAAGGGATGTTATAAGTAGATGTACCGGCAATGTAGGTAAGTTTGCCCAAGTGATCAGGACGGATAGGCTCGCCCTTCAAGACCGCATCTACCTCGGCGCGAACCTTTGCATATGCGTGCGGGTTACTCAATAGATGACAGATCTATGTATGTTCAGTAGAGTATCGAAGAGGAGTCAGAGAGAGAGAGGCTCACAGTAAAGCTAAGCAACCCCGACGTCGTCTCATGCCCAGCAATAAAAAACGTCACCAAATTGTGTGTGATGTTTTCATCCGTCATGCCTAGTCCGGTCACAGGGTCGGTGGCAGTAAGCATGAGCTGCAAAAGATCTTCGGGGCCAGCTGCAAGGTTTGCCTTGCGTTGGGCGACGACTGTCAGTGGAATCGTGTCAATAAAAGCTAGAATGATTAAGCATGATAACGCACTCTTGTCCGTCAATTCAAGCATAATCTTCTTGTCTTCTTCGAATTTCACGTTAGCGGAGTGTGAGAGGTAGTTCTGTACAAATCCTGGGCGCATAGCGCGGTTTCCACATTCGACAAGGTAGCTTTGAACATAATGTTATAAGTAAGAAGTCGAGATGGGAGAGGAAAGGAAGGAAAAGACGCACTCTCCCATAGCCTTGACGAAAGGCACCGTTTCCAACTATGCAATGTTTTGAGTGAATATGAGTGCGCATTGGTTAGGTAGAGTTAACATACGGAGTAGAATGAGTTAAGACGGTAGGACATGGCGCAGCTGAGAGTGAGAATAAGTTATTAGAATTTTTAGGAGATATTTTTTGGGAGATGATACACATACAGGGTAATCGTATCGAATGTAAGTCTGGTAAAGTCTTCGGTTGCGTCGATAACATGGTCTGGACCGAATCTATATCGGGATCAATCACAATTCTTTGGGTTATTCGTTGAAATTGTAATAATTCACCTCTAGAAGAAGAAGTGAGCCGTATTCTACTATCACAATATGTATGTGGCGCTCACCTCCCATTTGCTAACCAATTGAGACGCGATATCGACCATGGGACCAAACATGCCCTTAATCTTTGCCGGGCCAAATCCGCCAATAAGGATTCGATCTGCGCTTGTCGTCAATATGGCTTGTTCCTCAAACTCCCATCACACTTACGTGCAATACCTCATGTCGCCTCACCAGGATAAGCGGTGAAGAGGCCATCCCCAACGAGATGCCTTACCTCTTTCAACACCCCCTTGGGATTCTTTACAAATCGCTTCTGATCACACACTTGATCTACCAATTCATGGTTGCAGACAAAGATGGCGGTGCGGGGACCAGGGAAAGTAAGTTGATAAATCGGGCCGTACTTCTTCGCGAGGTTGAGGTAGGTGTTTATTGGAACCTGCGAGGAATAATATTAAGAGAGATTGAGGATCAGGAAAGAGAAATAATACATACCTCTTTATCGATCAGATGGGCATTCCCAATGATGGGAAGGGTTGGTCTGAAATGCAGAATAAAATCATCAGGGCGGCAAGAGATTGGTAAAAGGCATAAGGGCTCACGGTTGAGGAATGGGAGAAATGGTAGTCATAACAGATCGAGTTGTACTGTGTTGTGTGCAAGAAAGCTTGTGAGCAATGTGTAGGGAGTCTCAACGTTCGAGCTCCAGTATATATACAAAATCATGAAATTGTGAGCCAGGGTTCAAGGAAGGCATTCGGGGGTGAATCAGTCCGAACACGAGGAGGAGCTTCAATTGTGTGTCGTGTACTTCATGAGCCGTAACCGTGATACAGAGTGGCGTGCTGATTCGCTGCAAACCCGAGTTCGAACGAGTTCTTGCTCCTAGAGGCAACCTAGATCGATCGGTTA